ACCCAGCGAGCGACCCAACCGCGACCCACCCGCGACCCACCCCGCGACCCGTTTGCGACCCACACGCGACCCACCCGCGACCCACCCTCAACCCACCCGCGACCCACCCGCGACCCGGCCCGCGACCCACCCGCGACCCACCGTCGAACCACCCGCGACCCACCTGCGACCCAACCCGCGACCCACTTACATTGTTTTAACAAGAAATCGGCGCCTGCGGCGGGCTCGTTGTATAGCTTAAAAATTTGTGCGCCTGCGGCGGGCTTCTTCCAAGCCTCGCAGACTGCCGAAGTCCCCGCCTCCCCCTCGCTCTTATCCGCAACTGCGGGGTGCTACGTACTAATGCTGCTGATGATGATGATGCTGATGGTAATGATGATGCTGATTATGATACGGATGAGGATAATGATGCTGATGATGATTATGATGATGATGACGACGAGGATGGTGAGAATTACGCAGACGATAAAACGATGAGGATGATTCTTATGTTGTACACACTGACGACGACGATGACGACGACGACGACGATGATGATGATGATGATGATGATGATGATGATGACGCGGATGAGGATGATGGTGGGGATGAATATAATGAGTATGCCGATGATGCTGCTGGTGATGATGATGCTGCTGGTGATGACGATGGTGATGATGATGATGATGAGGATGATGGCGATGACGATGACGATGACGATGATGATGATGATGATGATGATGATCATGATGATGCTGATCATGACGATGATGACGAGGATGATGATGATGACGATGATGATGACAAGGATGACGATACTGATAATGCTGCTGATGATGATGCTGAGGATGACGATGATGATGAGGTTGATGATGCTGATTATGAGTATGAGGATGCTGATTATGATGATGATGGTGGTGATGATGATGAGGTTGATGATCATGTCAATCATGATGCTGATGTTCATGCTATTGATGCTATTGTTGCTGATGATGCTGCTGCTGTTGCTGCTGCTGATGCTGATGACAATGATGATGATGGTATCGGTGATGCTGATGATGACGATGATGGTGATGATGACATTGAGGACGATGATGATGATGATTCTGATTATGATGATGAGGATGATGATGCTGATGCTGTCTATGATACTCATGATGCTGATGATAATGATAATGATCATGATCATGATTATGATGATGATTACGATGCTGATGATGATGATGACGATGATGATGCTGATAAAGCTGCTCATGATGATGATGATGATGAGGATTCTGATTATGATGATGATGATGACGACGATGATGATGATGCTGAGGATGATGATGATGTTGATGTTGATGCTGATGCTGATGATGGTGAGGATGAGGATGAGGATGATGGTGAGGATGAGGAGGAGGAGGAGGAGGAGGAGGAGGAGGAGGATGAGGATGATAATGATGGTGATTGATGATGATGATGATGATGATGATGCATGATGATGTGATGATGATGATGGTATGGTGATGGTGATGGTGATGATGATGATGATTGATGATGGTGGTGGTGGTGGTGATGATGACTGATGATGATGACGATCATGATGATGATGATGATGATGATGATGATGATGATGATTGATGATGATGATGATGATGATGATGATGATGATGCTGAGGATCAGGAGGAGGAGGAGGAAGGAGCGGTAGGAGGGAGGAGGACTGAGTAGGAGGAGGAGGGGGGAGGAGAGGAGGAGGGAGGAGGAGGAGGAGGATGGAGAGGAGGAGGGGAGGAGGAGGAGGGAGGAGAGGAGAGGAGGAGGAGGAGGCGAGGAGGCGGGGCGGAGGCGGAGGCGAGGCGGAGGCGTAGGGGGAGGAGGAGGAGGATGAGGAGGAGGAGGGAGGAGGAGGAGGAGGAGGAAGGAGGAGGAGGAGAGGACGGAGGAGGAGGAGGAGGAGGAGGAGGGAGGAAAGTTGAGGCGGTGTCGCAGGGACAAGGGAGGCAGGGAGAGAGGTGGGCAGGAGGCAGAAGAGGTGCTGTGGCGTGCACTCCTGTTGCAGGGACGTTGGGCCGGCTTCGGGCAACCACTGGCTTCCTTGTGATCTCTGATTCGTCCCGCCGACCCTGGCTGGCCTTTCCTCCCCGCCTTTCTCCCTCTCTCGTCCTCCCCCCCCCCCCTCCCCCTTTCCCTGGCCTCCCCCTCCCTCTTCCCTCCCCCTTTCCCTCCCCCTCCCCCTCCCCTCCCCCTCCCCCTCCCCTGCCCTCCCCTCGCCTGGCCTCCCCCTCCCACTCCCCTGCCCTCCCCTCGCCTGGCCTCCTCCTGCCCACTCGAGCCGCGTCCTTGCAAGCTGAGGCCAACAGGCGCCACTGGACGCGAGCGGGAGCGCAGCTGCGCCTCGCTTTCGTTGTCGGTCGGCGCAATCTCGCGGCGTAGGTATCCGATGCGAGCACCGTTGCGACAGTTCGTCTCCATTGCATCAGCTTTCCGTGGCAGGGCGTGGCGGGCAGTCTTGCACGATGCTCGCGGTGGCCTGCCTCACTTTGCGCACACACACACACACACACTCTGATCGCATCCCTGCGAGCTGCAGAAGTCGGTCACCGGGGGCAGACTGGCAGTCTGGCTTTTCAGCGGCCGCGGCTCACGTACGAGGCGTGGCTGGCACCAGTCGGGTGGGCTCTGACAGGGACAAACGCGAAGCGAGACAATCCGGTGAGCGTGCAGCATGCCGCGGCCTGTAAGGGGCGCGTGCCGGGCTCGACCGGAGCAGGCCGTCAAGCTTGAGTCGCTTTCGGCCTGAGCCTGTCGTAGAGCTGCTCACCAGGCACGGAGGGGAGCACTCCCGCACGGGAGGGGGGAGAACTCCCACCGCGGGCGACCATCCCAAGAATTTGGCGGCGACCGTGCCAAGGACTGTCGGGCGACCAATCCAACAACCGGCGGCATGGCCGGACTTGGGCCGCTCTCCGAGGACGTCGGGCGATTGGGGCCTTTGGGGTCCCCAAAACGGTGCGGTGACGGGCCGTGCGGTGGGGTCCCTGGGGATTTCGAGGTCACCGCACGCTCTGTCATCGCACCGTCTTGGGATCCCCGAATTGGGTCAGCGGAGTGTTTGCGGCGCTCGAAGTGGACACGTCTGCACCGACCCAAACGTTCGGAGGCCCGCGCGGATTTCTTGGATCGGCGCTGGACCCCCCCTGGCGGCGCATCCAGCGCCGCTCCCGACGCGCTCCGGCCCCTGGTGCTCTCCGCATGCGCTTCTTCTTCCATCGGCGGAGGGCGAGGGGGGGAAATGGGAAGGAGGACGCCTTCTCAGGAGGCAGCGGGACTCCTCCGAAGCCCTCGCGACTTCTGAGACGCTGCTTTTGTTTGTCTTCGGGGAAGGGCTCGGAGAACTTTTCAGGAGGCCGCGCGGACTTCCGAGCCTTCTGAGAATGCCCGCCTCTCCTCGTTTCCCTCCCAGGCTCGCTGCCCACTCAGGGCCCCTCCATCCTTGATACCTCGATCCTCGATCCTCGATCCTCGATCCTCGATGCCTCGATGCCTCGATGCCTCGATCCTCGATCCTCGATGCCTCGATCGATCCTCGATCCTCGATCCTCGATGCCTCGATCCGGACGCGCACAAAGGGGGGATTGCTCCAGGGGGTCGGCAGAGAGGCCCTTGGCCTTCTGCGTCGGCACCCCGCCCTCCACGAGGAGGCCGCGCCCCTCACTCGCCGCCCCCTCGTGCGCAACCGCTTCAGTCGGGACTGCCCCTCTACAGGGTAAATACATCCAGAACCAGTCAACAAAATAGTCTGGGGACAATTTTTGAGCACTGTTTGACCATTCTGGAGTATGTTTGACATTTTTATATCTTTATTTTTGGTCCAAAATCCCCCTGTAGGGGGACAGGCCCGGCCTAACCCTAGGAGTATAACCACGCCTGGGGCGCGGAGAGCCGGCCTAGGACTCCTGACCTGGCGGAGCGTACCTCTAAGCGCCTTCTCGACAGGCAGCTCGCAGCATGGCGAAGAGACTTGCACCGCGCGGTGGGGGGCAGCACAGCAGTGGCAGCTCCATGGGCTCCTGCTTGCAGGACAGGCCCTATGGCGATGTGGCCCTCGGAGGGGTCTTGTGCCCTCTCGCGCGTCCTGTCCAATCAAGGCCGACCGTAGGGGGACAGGCCCGACTGCAGCCCTCCTCTTCCTCCTCCTCCTCATCCTCCTCCTCCGCCCTCCTCCTCCTCCTCCTCCTCCTCCTCCTCCTCTGCCTCCTCTCCTCCTCCTCCTCCTCCTCCTCCTCCTCCTCCTCCTCCTCTGCCTCCTCTCCCTCCTACTCCCTCTTCCTCCTCCGCCCGACTGGAGCAGACGCCCGAAGGATGGCTGCTCCTTCTGGGGGGGGGCCGAGCGGGCGGGCCTGGGAGCGACGCCGAGGCTTGGGCGAGCCTGTGCGCTCTCCCCTCCTCCGCCGTCCTCCTCCTCCTCCTCCTTACGTCCTCCTCCTCCTCATCCTCCAGTCCTCCGTTTCCTCCTCCTCCGTTCTCCTTCCTCATCCTCCTCCCCTCCTCCTTCCTCCCTTCCTCCTCTCCTCTCTCCTCCCCCTCCCTCCCTCCCCTCCCTCCTCCTCCCTCCCTCCCCCCTCCTCCTCCTCCTCCCTTCCTTCTCCTCCCTCCTCTCCCTCTCCCTCCCTCCTTCCTCCTCCTCCTCCTTCGTCGTCCTTCCCCTTTCTGTCCTCCCCTCTCTCCTCCTCCTCCTCTGCTGCCTCCTGCTCCTCCCTCCTCCTCCTCTCCTCCTCCTCCTCTCCTCCTCCTCCCTCCCTCCCCTCCCTCCCTCCCTTCCGCCTCCTCGTACTCCGACCTCCCTCCTCCCCTCTGTCCTCCTCCTCCTCCTCCTCCTCCTTCTCCTCCTCCTCCGTCCTCCGTCCTCCTCCCTTCCTCCTCCTCCTCTTCCTCTGCCCCCCCCACGCCGTATTCCCCTCCCCTTCCGTTCCCGTCCCGCTCCGCGGCTTTGGGTCCTCGCCACTCTGCGCTTCCTCCCGGCGTGGCTTCGGGGGAG